GCTGAGTGGGGGGGGGGGGCAGCAATGCGCTGGGGAATGGGCAGCAGTTAGTGCGTCCAGGAGAGAATAAAAGTATCAATCTTGTTAAACAAATATTGATCAAAATCAATATCAGTATTTGTATCGATAGTATTGATACTAAGATCATTCTGCCCACCTCTACTAGCGCCCTCTATTGTCCAGTCGCCACTGTTCATTGTATTATATTGTAATGTCAGCTGTTATTTTTTATTTCACTGTAGTTAAATATCTCTATATTCATCTTAAGCTGTGTAAAATACAGATATAAAACAGTGACTTTGGATCACATAAGAAAAAGAAAAGCTATGTAATATTCAGTTATGTATAATATATCAATTCATTCAGTAGTAATAAAGTGAAACCCAACCAAATCCTTCCTCTGACCTCACTCCTTTGACTCACTGGAAGATGTTACCTGACTCATTATCTATTTCTGATTTTGTTAAGTTCATCTATTGCAGGTATTTTTCAATTATGTCTAACATTCTTTGTAAATGAAAGACATATAAACTCAAATACATCACATCAGTCTTCAATAAGTCCATCAGAATATTACTAAACCACACAAAGACACCAAATGAGTTCATTCCTATCAGATATCTGTCACACATAAAGTAAACAAATTTGTGCAAATGTTAAATAGGCGTTGGTGCTTAATTTATCTGTTTTGGAAACACAAGTTCCAATGTTCTTACTGCATCAAATGTTTTTATTTTGCAGAAATAGATCAGGCCTGCATGCATGTGCCAGCAGTAGAAAGGGAAAATTTCCCTCCCTAACTATTCCCACTGATTACCCACATCCATTCTGAACTCAAAGTAAATGAACGTAACAGATGGAATGTCTACTGTTGAAGACAAAAAAAAATCATCTGTGGGGCGTCAACTAAGGAAGAAAATACAACAGGAACATATTAGAAGACAGGATGTGCCCATAATTAAGAATGAAATCTACAAAAACTATTTGTCATTAATTGGTTATTTCAGTGCAACAGATAAGGGCTTAAAAAGTGATACAACAATAAATGAACATTTTTGAAAAATGAAAAAATAATAAAAAAGAGAGAAATCAAACATACAACGAAAAAATGTATGGATAAATGATTCATTATAATACATAATATTAGTATTTTGTTTCATTTTATACCACAGTAGTTATAATTTTATTTATTTGGGTGAATAAGTGAATCTTATGTAAAGGTATTTATTGGTTTTTCATTTGTTCTTAACTTTGGTAGGATTAGTTCTCCAGAGTAAGGAACATTTTAGGTTTATGAAGACATAAAACTTAGACGGTTGGGTCAGAAGCTTTTGCTTGGCAGTTACTATGCACTCTGTCATAAATGATAACCACTCAAACTCTCAACTTTACATGTTGTCTGATTCCGTTTCTTTGCTGAGTCGTTTGTCCTGTTGTAGATTGTCAGGTAAATGAGGACCCTGAAGGCTGCAGTTTCCAGAGTTCGCTTTGAATATTAAACAAAATTTTGTCATGTTTAAATTTTATCTTTTTAAAACTTGAAACCTGGTATGCAAAATTCAACTGCTGCTACAATTCTGTTTCACATAATTGTCCTGTGACAGGACAGCAAATAGACGGGACTCCTTTCTATCTCCTCACACTGATGACTGACTAAAGAGCAATTGTGTAGAATGTGTGTGTGTGTCTGCGGACTTTCAATCGTAGATCGAAACTATA